GGGGTGCAGAAACAAAGGCCCGTGAGGGGTGGCGGGGGAGGTGCCCGGCCAACAACACGGGGCAGAGAGGAGATTTCTCCACGCCAACTTGTGACAGTGGTGAGTCTATCCCGGCCGCCCCCGCGGCAGACGCCCGCACCACCCCACCACCCTCCCTCCCCGTTTTGGTTGCGGGCGCGGGGCCTTTTGCGCGCCTGCCGTTTCGTTTTGAATACAGATCGACGCTTTTCCCGCGCCGCCGCCGCCGACATCCTCATCATTCTCTTGTAATTTTCCCCGTCCCTGCTCGTCGTAAAGGAAAAATAACCTCTCCCCGCGCCGCCGCACGTCAGGGGCGCCCCGCGTGCCAGACTGTGCCGGGCGCGGTCTGAATTCATTATCATGCATAACGCACCTGGCCGATAATTCATTTTCAATCACGCGCGCATATTCTCCGCTCCTGTTTCTTTTGTTTTCCTGTTCCTTTTTTTTTCGTCAGTCGCGGTGGTGGCGGTGGTGGCGCCGCCGGGGCGATATGCGATGGGCCTGCGCGCGGCCGGCTTAGGGAAACCATTAAGAAAAATATATACATCCCCCGCGCCCCGCGCGCTTGCTTGTCTGTTCCACGAGGTGACGTGTACGACCTGAGTGAGTCTTTTAGGAAAGTCGTTACGGCGGCCGCGGGGGGTGTGAGGGCAGGGCAGGGGGGTGACGGACGGGCACGGGCGGGGGTGGGCCTCATTGGCAAAGCGAGTTCCCCGGCGATATGATTGGGGCCTTACACTGAGTGAGCGCGTGGGGGCCGCCGAGGCGGGGGGTTGTAGTAGTGGCGCACGGGCGTGGAGGAGCAAGGGTTTGTGGAGTTTAGGACCGCACCGTCGGACCTCTCTCCTCCCTCCCGCCCCGTATAGAGCTCTGAGGATGGGGTGATGGAAGTTTCGGTGCGCGGAGCAGAGCAAGGGGATCGTCACGGGGAGGAGAGAGAGAGAGAGAGAGAGAGAGAGAGAGAGAGAGAGAGAGAGAGAGAGAGAGAGAGGCGGGCGTGAGGAGTGCTGGGCGCTTAAATCGCGCACATGTGGTGCGACAAGGGCCGCGGGGGCGTGTGGACGAATCAACCGCTGTGCGCAGAGGGCGACAGCGACTGCAGACCGGGTACTGAGGGTGTTTGCGCGAAAATTATAATGATAACAATCTCAAAGAGAGATATTTCGAAGCGAGATCCGGCTTTTGGCGCGTCGGCAGGCGCAGGTTAGGCAGTCCCGCCACACGGGGCCGCGCGCCGGGCCTGCCCGTCCCGCACGCTGCAAGGGGCTCCGGCCGGCGGCGGAAGGGGGAGCCAGGCCAGGGGCGGCGTCCCGCGGCGGCCAGCGCGCGGGGCACCCAGAGCGGGGCTCAGCTCCCTCAAGTGGACAGCGCGCGCGGCCCGCTTTGAGGAGCAATCAACTGTGGCCGACGACAGAGTTCCGTGTTTTCACCACCACTGGACGCTGTGGCGGGGCCGCGAGGGGCGGGGGCGGCCGCCGGCCGTTAGGGGTGCCGATGGGGCGGAAGAGGGAGGAGGCAGGGTAGGTCCACCATCGGCTCGGGGGGCCACGACGGCGACGACAGGGCGCTGACGAACGCCCACGCCCGACGACGACGACGCCCTGGGAATTATTCATCAAAAAGCTTCACCTGAACGTTTGGTCTGGAAGGGGCTTCGAGTGGCGTAGCGGGGCGTCGTCGTGTTTGTGGAAGCGAAAGGGTGTGCTTGCGCCCCTCTTCCCCGCCCCCTCCATCCACTACCTTAGTTGTGCAGCGCGCGGGGCGTGGCGCTGCGTGGCGGGGCGCCGGCGCCGCGGCGCTGCTTGTGCGTCCGTCCTGCGGCGGCACGGCCGTGCGCGCGCGCGCGCCCAACGCGGCGGCGGCGGCGTCGGGGTGCGCCGAGCCGGGGGCCGAGCCGAGCCGAGCGCCGAGCCGAACCGCGCCGCGGGTGGAGGGAAGGAGCTAGCGCCGCCGCCGCCGCTGCTGCCCGCTCCGCCGCTCCGCGCTCCGCCCGCCCGACCCGAGCCCGAGCAGCGCCAGTCGTCCGCGCGCCGCCGTGCCCCCCGCCCGCACCGTGCGCTGCGCTGCGTGCCGCCCGGCCCGGCTCCCTCCCTCATCGCGTGCAACGACAACACCAGCGGTGCGAGTGCGTGCGTGCGCGCGCGCGTGTCAGTGGCACGAGAGCAGTGTGCAAGCAGGCTGTGCAAGCCCGGCAAATTCAGTGACAAGTGCGGAAAAGGGGCTGTTGTGAAGTCGTTTCGACGACGACGTCCTCGTCGTCGTCGTCGTTGTTGTCGTCGACGCTGGTTCAGGAGGTGGTGTCCGTGGCGGTGACAACTGCAGCGGGAGCTGCAGCAGCAGCAGCAGCTTGAGCAGGACGGTGCACAGGTGCCCGAGCAGCAGGTAAGCTGGCCTTCCCTCCAGCCCGGGTTGCGTGGCGTGGCGTGCGTGCCTCTCCCGCGCACGAGTTAGATGACGAATCGCCGCCCAGCCTGGCTGCCTGCCTGACTGGCCGGCGCGGGGCGCGGGCCGCGCAGGCAGCCCGCACAATCGCAATGGCGTGACTGACGATTATTTGTAATTAGCTGGCAGTCATTATTGGCCGGATGTCTGCGTCATGCCGCGGCATTAAGGCGCATTACCGACCGGCACCGGCGGACTGTCTCTGCCGCGGCACCGTGTCCACGTGCTCGCTGACATACGCCCTCGCTGACATACGCCCTTGTCAAGAGCCCACCCTTCCTGGTGACATGCGCCTTACTGCGAACGGTGTGTCGTAGCACGCCGTATATCGAGAGCCTCCAGGGGCGCTCCCCACATTGGTGGTGGACCTATATCTGCTCGGCGTGGAGAGCCTCAACTTGAGCTCCTCCTCCTCCCGTCACGAGGGTCGTGGCGATTTAACTATGATCAGGGGGCGGGCCCGGCGTGGCGAGTTCCGCACCCCTCCGCCACGACCACGACGGCGGCACCCTCCGTTCAAAACACGCGGCACTGCAGAAGCTCTGTGTATTGACGCATGTCTAGGGGATGGACTCCGTGCACCATTCTAATTTATGTTGCTATTTTATCAAGGCGAACACGTACATTTCATTTTTGATGTGGCCATCGAATCCTCGCACAATGTCCTTTTGAAAGAGCCGGCATGTTACCCAATAACTTCACTAAAACAGGATTTGTAGAAGTCCTTCACGTGGTTTGAAAATGTGGGTCCGAGCCCAGACATGTACATACTGAATTTCTACGAATTTCTACGAGGTTTCCGATGATCCCATCGAGTGCTTGTCAGATAAAATTGCCCAAACGGGTTGCAGAAAGAGTTTAGTTTTCAAAATTTCGCGCCAATCGCTTGGTCCTGCTCGTCGCCCGTTCGCCCCGAGGAGCACTGACACGATACGCCGTTTCTCTATGTGTGTGCTCGTGTGTGTATGTGCGTGTGAATGCTCTTGTCGGAACCTGATGACGTCGAGGTATTCGCAGCTCGGCGTCGTGGTGTGGCGTAGTGTGGTGCACAATGCAAGGCGTTCCTCGGCTCTCGGCCGACACCGGCTAGAGGGGCGCAGCCTATGGCGGGTCCCTCCCTACTCGGCGCGAGGGTCAGATGAGAGAGAGCTGCTTGTAGTAGTTGGTCGTGATCACCGCATCTAGCAGTGCCGTGCCGCACGTAGCACTGTATGATCTGGGAGCTGCATTTTGCATCGCAATAAGCAGCCGAACTGTCTGTGTGTGACGTCTACGGAGTCATTACCGAGAGCCATCATTGTGCAGGGGCCACGGCGGGGCACATAATGGCAGTAAAGTAGGATACAGACGGATAAACAGAAACGGCAGAGATCTATTTTTGTGTAATTGCATATGTGTTACTGCTCCTAGATCCAAGAGGATGTGATATTCTGACGTAGTGTGTGTGATTTTGGGACTTTCCTGCCTGTACCATTTTTCGATTTTAGGCCTACTTGTACGACTTAATCATGTCTCGTCTAATGCGTCTAATCGTCTAACTGCTTATGTTTGACTAAGTAAATTCTTATAGCCCCTCAACGGCGAGAACTGCGGTAAACGCACGTCATTTTCGTGTACAGGGTATTCTTCGTTTAGAAGTTACCCCTAGGCAGAAATTTGGTTTCGAGAAATTTTCATATTTGCTTAGTGTTCTTGTTTTGTCGGTTTGCGTCCAGCCTTTCAGCTCTAGAGCCGATATTCAATATAGTTTTGGTCTCCTTAACATCAGAATGACATTTGGGGACTAGGAACAGTGGGACTAAGAACAGCGTGATCATAATCTGATACCAACTAACTACTTTTCTTCCATCTCACTGGCGTAGGCCGTTTTCTTGGGCAGCGCGCGCGCGGGTCTACGAGCAAGTCCGAGGAGGGTGTCGGCCTCTGTGACTGAATGCGATCACCGCTGCCTGCCTTAACGTCGTAGTGCTAATGAAAGCGAAAAGGAAGGAGAGGGAGAGAGACAAAGAGGGTGAGCGAGAGAGAAAGGGGGAGAGAGGGGAGGGGGGAAGGGGGGCAGAGGAAGAGAGAGGCAGAGCGAGAGAGAGAGGTGGAGACGGTCGTACCTCATTTGGCCATTGCGCGTCACGGCTTCGTCGCGGTGGCCATTGTTATGAATGCTGATTACTCGTAATCAGCCACACCGCAGCCGAGCCTCGGCGGGGCCGGCGCGCTGCCTTTGCTACCCTGTCCAGGAAGTACTTCCAGTGCAAGCGGCCCCCCACGCTAGCGGGATATTCAGTTAAAGACACACTTCATCTTTTTTCCCGTTTTGTAAAAATGATTCTCAAGTAAGCGTGTTGCTTGTCCTCCGGGGATACCTCTGCTGCTGCGTTTGCCTTACCGGGGCGTCGAGCTGTTATCCTGGCGTCACAATGAACGTCTCTGGCGGTCGCGCCCCCGTTGCCGAGCTAATCGCGGCCTCCATCAGCACCTCGGCGTCGTCGACACCTCGGCGTATAACGACGTCCTCCGGGGCAACCAGTGACTTGTGGCCGGGGCGGAGTGGACTCGACGGAGGATTGATTTTGGAGGCCTCGCCTTGCCGCACCTCGCCCCACTTCGCCCCGCTTCGTCCCGCCTCGTCCCGCCCTCGCAGCACGAGACACCTACCTCGCGTAGACGGGCGGCCGCGAGTACAGAACGTAATTCCCCATTGAGTTATGCCTAGCAGCAATATGTCATACACGCCGAGCGCACCGCGCACTGCTTGTGGCTGTACTGTACCGGGGCCCGGCCTCACGCACACGCGCTTCGCCTGCTGCGAGCCAGAGCACACTTCAAAGAAGCCAATAGCCGTTGTTTTGTAATAATTTCCGACGTCGACCTTATGGTTTGCAGCTTAAAACTGGTGTAGTTTTTTGTCAATCATTCTTCGAATCACAATTTGAAGTACAGTTTTAAACTTTGTTAATGATTGACAGCTTCAAATTGTTCGCGGAAGAGCACCGTTTTCTTGTCTGTCTAACCCTGCCGGCGTGCGCTGGGTGCAGCAGCTCGCCACCAACTGCGGCGTCGTGCGGCGTCTCCTCTCCTCTCCGGGCCAGGGGGGAGGGGGAGGGGATGGGGAGGGATGACGCACTGACAGTAGAGTGGGCTAAAGGTAAAAGTTGCTCTTGTCTAAACGTAGTGTTATTCTTCACTCTCTTTTTGACTAGCGTAATGTAGTCTATTAATGTCTGGTGTGACAAAAATTTCTTACTATTAGAAACTCTTTTGTTCTTTTGGTTACCAGTACAAATCGATGTCGTTTGTTCACTTCGAATCCGGGGGTCTTGTAATTTCCCGAGCGGATTGTTTTATACGTGTTTATAGTACCGTGTGTGTGTTGTTTGAAAGGCGAGTATGTGAGTGAGAGAGCGAGGGGGGAAGGGG